ACGAATGATTTAATATTTCTCATTTTGAAGACATTGACGAATGTGCAAACACTCCATGTAAAAATGGAGGCACGTGTACAAACGGACCGAATACCTACCAGTGCAAGTGTACGGACAAGTACTTTGGGGTCAACTGTCAGCTCGGTAAGTGCCGTGCGGTATGACAAACTAAATAAAGCAATAAAGTATTCCTTGTTGCACGTAAAATCGCAGCAAACATTTCAAATGTATTTTTAGATTAGTACGTACCATTAAGCTGCTATTAGTGTTTAAGCATTTGTGGCATCATAATGTACAGTTCAAAATTGCGTGGCCATGAGCATACTAATCCCTGGCTCAACTGCGTGAGGCATGTTTAAGTCTCTAAGGGGAACCTCTGCTTCTCATAGTTTTGATCTAAATTCCATTGAATATTGATAACTTATGCAGCGCTTTTAAACAGTCACTTCAATATTTTCCTTGGAATATTTAACTAGAGACAGTATAGCATTGATTAATTTTAATTACACTTTTATTTTAGCTATTCAAGATCCAAACAGTGTGGCAAAGGTGTACACATTCATGGGGAGGGAGATCAGTTTGAGTCCCTGGTGGATTATGTGTATTGGTATCCTAGGCATCTTTATCTTGTTTTTGGTGTTGGTAGTCCTGTGTAAGAACAGACCTGAACAGTAAGTGCACAGTTGTTGGTATTTTTAGTGTCTTTTTAGTTTTTAGTGATCCACTGCAGAGTATTTGAGAAAATGATGTAATATGTCAGCGAAAATTCTTAAGTATGGCAACTGATACATGACAAACTACTGCTGATGTCTAGTCACGATAAGCCTATATACCTTCTTTATTATGCAAGACAAAGTATTTTTTTTACAATGAAAACAAATATGTGATTTTAGATAAAAGGAGGTTTAAACAAGGCAACTACATGCCTATCAGGTTAAACATCCTATAAAAACAAATTGATATATAAATTAAAACAAAAGCTTCATTAATAGTAATATTAATAATAATAATTAATATGGTCATGATGTGATGTCATCATGACCATATTAAGGCATTTTTTTTGTCAATAAGATGTGATAGTATGTGCAGTTCCTCAGACAATGATATGAAATCTTATATTGAACCCAGCCACCAAGAGGTTGAGGATAATTAATATGATGAAAATATTGATGATATGTCCATGTCTTGTGTGTTTTACAAATTTTTGTAACTTTGTACTCGGAAGAACACAATTTTACTGTGGTCAAATGATTGATAATATAATTACTTTGATGTTGACCTGTCTGGGCCTGCTTAATTTCAGTGCAAAGTATGATGCAGAATTGGCTAAGTCCGAGCGTAAGCATGGGTTACCAAACAGCCAGTTGGATGATCAGATACCTGTGATGGATGAAAGTGGCCCAGTGGATGAGAATAATTATGGATTTGTTCCAGCCGGTGGAAGCAGGTATTTATTTATTTTTTATTTATCTAATTATTATTAGTTTTTTTATTATTATTATTATTTATTAATAATATTATTATTATTGGATTTATTTTATTTTATTATTATTATTATTATTATTATTATTATTTATTATTATTATTATTATTATTATTATTATTATTATTATTATTATTATTATTATTATTATGTTACTAAAACCTACCTTAAGGGAAACTTAGACAATAAAGAAATTAGAGAACAATTAAAATAACTACGTTAAGGGGAAAATAACACAAAAGATATTCCCCTTAAGTCCGACTTTATTATTATTATTTATTCTTATTATTATTATTTTATTATTATTATTATTATTATTATTATTATTATTATTATTATTATCATTATTATTATTATTATTATTATTATTTTCTTTAAAATGTTGTTCTTATAGGGATGGAGTAGCTGAGATCAACAGTTATGAGAACCCCTGGCCCCAGAGTACCGAGGACTTTACCCTACAGAAGACTCATTTGTGATTATCAAATGTTAAATAGGATATACTATTTTCGTAATGTATAGGATTAAAATAAGTTGTATATTGTTTATATGTTGTTGGTGAGATAATAATATATATTATTATTCTTATCATCATAATACTATTATTGTTATTATTAATGTCATTTAAATACTTACATTTTTTTATACTGTAAAATAAGAGATTGTAATTTATGAAATATCAAGTGTATTTGTTTTAGGAGGGGAGAATACAAAGTAAATATTTTAATTATGTCTTTCACTGGCTTGTATTTAGAAGTATTTCACTTTCACATCAATTAATTAGTTTTTTGTTCTAACCAATTGACACAATTGTTTATTTTGTTTATGTTTTCAAACGGTTAGATTGTGTATTGTCATTAGAGTATAACAATCAATATGTTACTGAAATTGTCATGCTAACCCCCAGTGCTGACCTTACCTGGTCAAAGTTCACAGGGGAGAATATAGTTTGCACTGAATCAATAAATCAACAGTGTGTGAAAATATCATCAATAATCAATTAAATTTATTAGGCTTAAGTTTTGTATCATGATTCAAAACCATACGATTTTTTTTTTGCAAAAATTTTTACAAAGTTTTGAGTGACAGAAGCAACAATTTTAATTGAGTGTTGGGTTTACTTCAGCAACTTTTTTATTAGTAGTTCTAAATATCAAATTATTATCATCAATTTGATGTACTTATGAAATTGGATTATCAGGAGTGTGGTACTTATTACTTATTCTAATACAACTTTCATTCAAAATTAAATTTTGCAAATATCGCCCTTCACTGCTGGTAGTTAGTACCATATTGCCCTCTATACAATTTTATGTCAAATACTGCAGCTTCACTTGATTAAAAAATGTCCTACTGTACTTATAATAGTTAGTTCACATTTTTTAAAGCAGTTATTTTGTTAACATTAGTATCACCTTGAGAGGATAATGTTTCCTCATTTTGTAAATATATTCTATTTTAAGCTGCTTTATCACAAATTCAAGTGAATATGGGCATAATGATGTCATATCTTAATATAGGCATGATGATGTCATAGGCATGATGACATCATATTATACCTTTTAGCCAATCACAGGTGCTTGTCACATAGAATTTGACATTTTGGACAGAGCTTAACATATGCAGGCACGGATCCAGTAGGGGACACCGTCTCACGTTCCCCTCCTCATTTTGCTGCTATATTTTAAAATTTCAATGCATATATGGAAATGTATAAATTAGCACCTTTCCCCGACCCCTCCCCCTCCGTGTGAAAAATTCTGGATCCACCCCAGATGTACATATATGATAGCATTTTCATTTCTTTTTATTGATGTGTAATCAATTCATTATCTATTTGGAATCCTATTAACAATTGCAATTTTAGTTTTGGAATTATTATTTCTGGCGTTATTTTTGGAATAATCTAGTCGTTATTGTCATAATGGTGGCAAATATAAATTTACGATGGTTGAAAAAATACAATTTTTGTAACATGTTTTTTGAAATAGAATTGTTGCTTCCTTATCAAATTGATCAGTGCGAATTCGATGAACATTTTGTTTTACATCATCAAAAGCCAGAATCGCCGCTCATTCTGCTGATTACACCAAACTATCTTTTATGAGTTCAGAAAAACAAGCAAGCCATCTTTTAGTTGTAACTGTGTATGAGCAGTGTCAGTCACATGTTTATACACAAGCGTTCGCTATAAATATTCAATTCCGCACGTTTTGTGATAGGCTATTTTGTCTATGTACCGTAACCAACAATAAGGATTTTTTTTATGCACAAAACAGTTGACTCGGCTGTAATCGGCTTTTTTTGCTGCCGGTCTAAGAGGATCTTTGTTAAATGCAAGCCTGTTGATTCGGCCTACCACTGTCAATACCCTTCAAGCCTGCCTCAACACTTTTATAAATTAACTATTAGTATTGTAATTAATGTAGAGGATGCGGTTTTATAATGGATATATTATAGATGTGCGTTACAATTGTGTAAGATACATGTTTTTATCAATACTTAGGGAATTACTTAACTGGTGAGAATTTTGCAATAAAAGAAGCTTTGATAATATATTTGAATGTGTTCATTATGTTATATATATGTATCATTAATATTTAAGATTTCGAGATCTAATGACATCACCTAGCCCTCTTCTCTTGGACTGTTTTGCTTACAAAACAAGACAACAAGAGTCCTCTGTAGGTTGATAAATGTCACTTAAATACTCGTTTTAAGTTTAAATAACGATAAATCGGATGATACTCAATTAGGCCCATGTGGCCGAATCTAGGAAAAACGACCAGGTTAAAAATTGGCAAATTTTCGTAAAAACCATGAGCTATAGCTCATACTTTTTTTTGACGATTTTTTTTTATTCCGCCGTTTTCCAGTTGTTTCCTATTCCATGATACCTATAGATCACAAGAGTCCTCTGTAGATTGATAAATGCCACTTAAATCCTCGTTTTAGGCTTAAATAACAATAAACCGGATGCTACTCAATTAGGCCCATGTGGCCGAATCTAGGAAAAACGACCAGGTTAAAAATTGGCCAATTTTCGTAAAAATCATTAGCTATAACTCATACTTTTTTCGTATTCCATGACACCTACGATCACAAGAGTCCTCTGTAGGTTGATAAATGCCACTTAAATCCTCGTTTTAAGCTTAAATAGGCCTATTGAACATTAGCACTATTAACTAGAGTCGCAGTAGGCCTATGCAGTCATGTTCATATACAGCATTATAGTAGAGATTGACTAATACTGTAATAGTTTATTTTATTGTACATAATAATAAAAGTAGCCATGGTAAATTGTGGGAAAAAAGTCCCCTAGCGCCGACAGTTTGCCAGGTTAAACAAAAGCTTTTCTCGTGACCAGCCATTTATGCCATTTGCTTTATTTCCAGAGTAAAAGATGTAGATATCATCCGATATTCGTGGGATAAAATGATTATATTAGTTGCTAATCGTCATCAATGTATATATCCATTGGAAAAAAATAAGAATAAAGATCGACTTAGACATTATTCGAGTTTGGAAAAGGCAACTTAAGCCTATAGGCCCTAGGCAAGTTTAACTGTAAGCCTATTTAATGAATTTGTAAAAAAGATAACAGAATTCCTGTTTTTACCGATTTTAAACTAAACAAATTTAAATACAATACTTTTAATCTGAGCAATGACGAACACGTTTTCTTAAGAAACCCATCCCAATGGTAAGAGATATGATATAAGAATGTTTTCGCAAAAACTCTTCATACTTTAAATTTCCCAAGCATTCTCTTTTATATTATTGCAAAATCAACCTAATCGCGTCACAAATGAAGGCCCTGATAGAAAAAGAAAGACATATTTATTTAAAAAAAATAATAATAAAAAAAATTAAAAAAATTACCGTATATTGGCGGTAGACCCTATTGATGCTCAAAATCTTTCTCGATATAAATTGTATATTAGTTAGTGGGTTCGTTATTGACGTGTGACACAGATTCATTGAATTAAATGCAAAACAAGCTTTCAGAGAGTCAATATTGTTCTATCTATATCATTAAATAATAAACCACCGAAATGATTTAGTAGTTTACTTCTTAATTTTTCATATTAGTTGCACGGTCTTGAAACAATTAAATATTTATAAGTCTTCGACAAACTACTAATCTTATTTTGTATTTTATAATTTAAAATTGGAATAAAAAGACATGATAATGATGACTACGACAATGATATTATTGATTCTATATGCATGTAAACAGAGAATAAATGTAAGAATGTTAAACTGATTACCAGTACATTATCTTCTTATTTTTAAAAATCATGTTTGCTGCCCTCTATACATTTTGATTGTCTGCTGCCCTCTATGTTATAAATTGAAAAAACGTGGTGGTAGGCCTAGCCGTGCATTATTATTTAGATGTAATTTATATATTTCTAAAAAAGTAAATGCTTCAGTTTAAATATCAACATGGTAAGTAACTAGTTAAGGAGATAGACACAATGATTTAAATAATACTGAATGCTAGGGTATAAGCTATCTAATCTAGGCGTACCAACGTCCGCATGTCGCGCTAGCCTTATCCTACTCTAGGCCTGGACTAGCTTGGATGGTATAGGCTTAGCCTTGAAGACGAAGGTCCCAATGAAAAACAACGTCACTCTTTGATAGCTAACATAGTCTATTTAACATCACAATAATTCATTATTAGACCTATAGTTGTTTTTTGAATTGTACTCCACATAATCTCAGCCGATACCTCGCACAACTGGCTAACATCTCTATCTATTGTTGTGACGTCATGGCTCGCTGGCTCACACTTGTGATATGTCTCGCACTTGTGATCAAATAACACGCTGGCTCGCACTTTGGTAACACTCTTTGGCACTCTTTGGAAACTTGCCCCATAAAAAAATGTACACTTCTAGACCATGCAGTCTTCAAAATAAAAATTGTAACCTTTGGTAATCAACTACATTTTCCACATACATAGAAATTTTTGAAACTTTATTAAAAAAACCCTAAACCATAATTCACCACACTATAGACACTTTTTGACAAAAATGAAAAATTACGACTTTGTTACCCAATGAGAAGTGTTCTAATATAGACAATGGGTCGTGTATTATTTGTTATAGTTTTATTATTCATTATTTTCACTTTATATGCAGTTGTACTTCGCAGCACTTCACTTGCAATTTGCAATTTCTAGTTTTAAGTTATCTGCACTCAAAATAGCCACTTTGTTTAACGACGCAATTTTTTTGTGATTTTCAACGTCACCCTGTGTCTGTATGAGTGAGTGTATACATCTTAAATAACAGATATATTATCTATAGGTACAGTACAGTCATGAAATATTTTACTTTTACCTGCACGCAGGCTTCGTAGTTACATTGTAGCCTGACATAAACAATCTAACCTGCGCGCAGGCTTCGTAGCCTGATATAAACAATCTAAGCAAGGCTACACGAAGCGAATCTACGAAGCAAAAGCATGTTGTTTATTTGTATGTGCAGAAAGACTGCTGTAGCTTACTGGAATAAACAATGTATTGTTTGATAGTTTGTGAACAAAAACACGAGTTTAGACCGTTAATTTAAAGTATGGAACTGTTTTTCAATAAGAAAAACGGACACTTGACTTCATGGGACGCTCCTCTTCCACTCGCTGTCCACGACAAGAACTTGTTTGTACTGCTGTATTATTTTTTAAAAATTAATTAGCCTAGGCCTAGCTATTTTTCATTTACAATTATTTTACCTTTTTTTTATGTCAAAAAACGATGTCCTCAATGGCAATACACACATGTGAAAAGATTGTTCATCAAATAATATTTTGTAGTCTTGATTTAGTAAGATAAAAAATAAATATAAAGGAGAATGAACATCCGTTGGTTGTAAAATTACCGAATGTCACATGGAAAACCCAATGGAAAATAAAACTTAGCCAGCATTAGACGTCAGAGTGCGCGCCAATCAAAACACAGTAAAGTGTGTTAAAGGTTAACCTCGTGGCAAATGTTGAAAAGCTGTGAGCAACAGTGAGTAAAAAACGGAGTTTAATTCGGCAATGGAGTGATTACTATACTTCCATTTAGTATTGGATCGCTTTGCAGGTTGTTCTGCTTCAAATTACGGTAAACAATAAACAACGTGGTCTGTAGAAATCGTAATAATTTGTACATGATTTGTCATCAGTATTATTTAAAAGAAGAAAATTCCTACTACCAGAAGAATAATATCAGATCAAAATTCTCCGAATTGGAAAGTTTACCAGTATAAACTTCTGTCTGCTCTCCTCCTCTATAGGGGAAAATGTAGGCCATACGTAAGCCTAAATGACATCGAAATTCGAACATACTGAATGCCCACTAGGTTACCACCCAGCTAACGAACTAAACACAGTTTTAAAACATGATCGATTTAATAATAAGGTAGGATATAACAAAACAATAAAGTTCTAACATTGTTTATTTAGTAAATTGCAACATTGCTTACGTGTTGAAAGCTGGTAAACTATATTTCAATATTGTTATACACATTGATTATCAGTCGACGATCCAGCCTACGATCATTGCAAAGCTAATTAAAATAACAATGACCTTCGTAGTGGTTCGTAGCTACGTTCTAAACGGTACCTATGAGCAGGCTATGAGTGGTTACGCGCAGATACGAAGCGATATTTCCTGACTGAACTGTAGTTGTCTCTAGCCACAAGCAAGCACAGGCTGATCAAATGAATTAAAATGGAATGGCATCCATTCAAAGTTGGGACCAGCCCTAAAAAAGTGAAAAAAGCCTGTGTTTCCCATTAACGGTTCGTCATGTGGACAGTTAAAATATTTTCTTAAATTTACACCAGTTAACTAGATATATTAGATCTACTTATACACCAAATTTCAGCTTTGGTTCTCAGCTCCTTCATGGTTAGATACTATGTTGAAAACTACACATATTGTAAAATAATCGGAAATAGCTAAATTTTTTAAGAGTTGGGTAATTCAATGCCATGGGATCATAGATTTTTAAAATTTTTTCTGCTGACATATATTCATTTGAATTGAAAAACCTGAAATTTTTAGACTCCAATTCCTGTTTGTTTTCCCGTAGCATCAGTTTTATGTAAAAGGGGGCGTGGCACAAATTAGTACACTGTGAAATTAACATTGATTTTCGTATGCTAATATCTTGGGAAGTACAGTGCAAACCCTATCCAAACCCAGTGATAGTGATTGAATCATGTAGTCTAGGACTCACTTGGTATTTCAATAAAAAAAAATGATAATGTTCCGTTCGTAACAACCTACTTTTTGGGTATAAATGCCATTTTTTGTATAAAAACACTGCTAAACACCGCAAAATTAATCAGGTCACCGAGGGTCAGGCTTAATTACGCCAATACACCTTTTTCACGCTGCGGTAGACATCTTTGAAACAAAGTGCAACCAATAAAAATGATATAGTGTTTCCGCCATATTTTCGGGGAGCAAGTTACTTAAAAATTCATAACTCCTTAACGGACAGTCATATCAACTCCCCATACTGTAGCATTCGACTATAATAAATGCTTCATCCAC